CTTTATATACAAAAGGTACTTCTGTTGTATCAGGTCAGAATCTTCCCATTGGTGTCCCTTTTATCTGCCTGCCTGGTTCCCCAGCATCCATATGACTCATAAAACCTGGTTTTAGTTGCAGCTCTGCCACTTACTGCCTGGGTGAGCTACTAGTAGTAGCTCCAGAAAGCCTGATAGCTGGACAGGTGGGAAAGGGTCCCACCAGACACAGAGTCTGTATTTCTAATTAGAAGAGCTTATAGTAAAGTTCAGTAGAACACAACACACCACCAACAATATTTTCTGCAAACTATTGGTCAGGTGTAGTACATCCAATACCATGGTTCCCTGCTGAATTTGTTGTCAGCCTTTGTCCCATTTCCCTGAAAATGAATGAAGGTGACATCATACTGAGTCTAAAGACCTAGAACTGGAGTTCAAATCATCTTGCTAAAACTCAAATCTTCCTGATGAAACTGAGGGAGAGAGGACAGGGACTTGCGTTTGAATTAGGGCTGAGGATCAGAGATTGAGAACACACAGTGCAGAGGGCTAAATTCCAGGTTCCTAGATGAGTGAGCAGAAATTAAATCATCAGCTGGAGCAACATAGAGGTTTACAGTAGAATGGAATATGCCTTGATGGACCTTTTATTGCTCGAAGGATAGTTACCAGTAATGGAATAACTCAGCTGGAAGAACCTTAAGAGATACATGGTTTTCTCTGGAGGGCTTTCTCCTTTCCCCTACAGTCACGAGAAACAGAAGGATGGTCCCTGCTGGAAGATGCATCTCTTGACTTCATTTCTTGTAGGTTGGAGCATTACTCACTGGGGCACTTAGAGTCAAGTAGCAATGGCTCTGTTGTCATTTAGAGGAGCCGTGTACTATGTTGCTTTCCCAGATGGAAGTCAAGCTTCTGTCACAGTTTGGCTTTGAAAAAACATTTTCTTCCCAAAGACATTTCTTTATAAATATAGAGCTATGAGTCATCTCGCTTTAGAACTGGAAGAGAAAATCCACTTCTGCTATAATTAAGCAATAATTATTATTCTTTCCTCTGAGGGAGGACTTGGGGAGATAAACAACTCCCAGACAAATAAGGCTTAGAGGCCGTGGGCCAAGTCTTCTATTGATTCACAGTATATTTATCTCTCTCTTCCTTTCAAAATAAAAATAATGATAGTAATTATTTTTTTAAAAATGATTCCCTTTTTAAATCATTTAAAATTGCTATTTTCCACCCTACTCACACAGTAATTGTTTTTATGACCCTGTTGTAACTTGTGGGGAGGAGGGAGATGAGAAAACCCACTCGCATCCTGGGCAGCATCTCTAAGACACAAAGCAAATTGGCAGTAGCTCACTTACCAAACTGTCTTCAGTTCTCACTATGCATTTTATGTGGTAGAAGACCAAGAATACTGAATCTGCTGAGTATGTTACATGCAGTAGAGGGGAGGAAGAGTATTTTGGGAATAGATATTTTAGGTAAATAGCTTAGAAGGCAACTGTATGAGCTGATCTTGAATTTGGTGTGTGGGAAGGTCAAGGGGGCTAGACTGGACTATGAAAACCTACTTTTTCCATTTCTTACCTGTGTGTAAATTTGGGTGGCAAATCACTTAATTTCTTGGTATTTTGTTAATCTTTCAACAAATGATTTGTCTATATCATTGTAGTAGTGTTAATCTACAATGATATATATTCCAAGTAAAAAATTGCTGTAAAATGTGTAAATTTGGGATCAGGTGACCTTAGGATTAGATGAGCTGTACAAAGTGAATGTTGGCCCCAAATGTTTTCACACTTTCCAAATTTCTTAAATGGAAAACAAAGTCAAATAACCCTGAACTGCCTTCCTAAGCAAATTTTGGAATTGACATTTGCTTGAATATAAAAAGAGATAAGGGAGTCATCAAAATTGAAAACAGCTCTTGAGGTTTATATGTTATATGCTCTGTGAGCTCTTTCTCAAGGTGGGGATAGAAATGAGCTACATTGCGATTGAGTTGAAATGGAGTAAACTCCCAAGTCCTCCATCAGAATGGAAGGTTGTAGGTTGTGAAGGTTAAACAAGTAACCTGGAGGGTCAGTCAGTCCACAGCTTTCTCATTCCCTAAGCATAACATTAGAATATCTACCTAATATGCTCTGGGAATGGAATGAAATAGTCCAAGAAAAGTGCTTAGCATATTGTCTGGCATATAAAATATACTTGATAAATGGCTTATGGAGATAGCTATATGAATTTCAGAGGAATATATTGCTGACTTCATTGGATCATTTCAGAAGCATTGGAAAACCTGCTGATTCAAATTTCCCCTTTGAATATTTCCCAGTATTTTTCCCTAGTCTCTTCTTACTAAAAAACTTTCCATCCCCAGAGAATTAGGTATCATTCTACCTATGGAGGTGAGGTACTGAGACTCTTCTGCTTACTGCTGCATACCCAGCCCTTTAAAGTGTACTTGGCACGTGGTCACGTTCAGTAACATGTGCTTAGTAACTTTATGGAAGCTGTGTTCCAGGTGGTCCAGTCCCACGGTGGTGCCAGAGTTATAATGATGAGGAAAATAAGACATTTTTGGAGGGCAGACCAGCAGCCTGACTCTGTACCTAGTTAGTCAATATCCCTAACGCACATTCTTGTTACCCTATAATCAAGTCACTGCCCCTTCCTTAATTATCTGGTCTTGCAAGACCTATTTACCTAAATACATTTTTCAGAGGCCATAAACCATGAGCAATACACAACCCCCCAGAGGGGGTTATCAGCAGTGGCACCAGGCCAGGCCTTTAGGTGTGGTCTCATGTCCCCCATCCCAACACATGGGGCTTTTTGCAAAGCCCGAGAAAGGTCTGGAAGTCTGGTCCATATGTGGGGGACAAAGAAACCAAAGGGTATACAGAGAAAGCTTCCTCCATATTGGTTTACTCAGGATTCGGAGAACTGACCCCCTGAGTCACTGTACTAGTACATGTGAAACATCTGAAAATAAATGGTTTTTTCCTGTATCTCTGGGTACTCCTGTGTATTTTTCAGCCGCCTGGTAAGTTCTGTAACAATAGAAGTACCTAATCTCAAAATAATTGCAAAATAAATCAATGTCTTTACATATATTTCTCCAACACTTGGAAAAGGATGCGAAGTCCACAACAATGCTTCTTAAAAATGCTCATTTAGCTTGGCCGGCATGGCTCAGTGGTTGAGCATTGACCTATGAATCAGGAGGTCCCAGCTGGATTCCTGGTCAGGGCATATGCCTGAGTTGTGGGCTCAGTCCCCAGTGTGGAGCATGCAGAAGGCAGCCGATCAATGATTCTCTCTCATCATTGATATTTCTATCTTTCTCTCCATCTCCCATCCTCTCTGAAATTAATAAAAATATATTTTTAAAATGCTTATTTTTCCCTCAATATCAGCTTCCCTGACAAAAGTTAGCAAGTTCTGTACTTTTTCCAAATTTCTCAAACTTAATTTCCTTCATTCCTACTCTAGTGTATCTTTTTCATGTACTTTTTTTTCTTTCTCATCATTATTATTATTATTATTATTATTATTTGCCATAAATGCCTAGAAGAGCTTGTCTGATATGGCAGAACCCTCTGTAAAGGGTGTGAAAGGTGATAAAACCTCCAACTGCAAAGACAAAACCTTCAATTGTCTGCTGTTGGTTTGTTAACAGAATAGTTGATTGAATGTAAAAGCCTTTAAAAAATTCTTCTGGCCAAAACCGGTTTGGCTCAGTGGATAGAGCGTCAGCCTGTGGACTGAAAGGTCCCAGGTTTGATTCGGTCAAGGGCATGTACTTGGGTTGCAGGCACATCCCCAGTAGGAGATGTGCAGGAGGCAGCTGATCGATGTTTCTCTCTCATCAATGTTTCTAACTCTCTATCTCTCTCCCTTCCTCTCTGTAAAAAATCAATAAAATATATTAAAAAAATTCTTCTCATTTTATATTCCAGTAGCAACTGCCATCTGTGAAAATCACTTGAAAATTAATCATTCACTGCTTTCACATAGATCTATTTTTTGCCTATGTATGCTACTTAGATATTTTATTTTTACCTAACATTTGTTTTATGTCTTTCATGCCCAGTTAGTTATTAAGCTTTTTAAGAGAATTTCATGTCCCATACCTAGCATACTGTTTTATATGTAGTACTTAAAAAACATTTGTGGAGATAATTGGAAGGCCCTACCTAGCAGGAAAATGTTGTCTAAGAGCTGTGATATTCTGAGCCATTATTAGCCATTAGACTGAAAGTATTTTGTTCTATTAATTCAAGAAAGGAATGAGTGAGGCTCAGGATATGAGGGAATAAGGAATCGGCTAGGCATCAGTGAAGGAAGACTAGCTGGGGGTGTGAATGGGAGTTGAGCAGCAAGAGGGTCCTGGGTGGGAACTTGCTGGAAAGAAGATAAAGGAAAAGAGAGAAGCTATCAGAGTAACATAAACTGTGTTAATTGTGCTATTGTTCCAAACGATTCTCTCCTTCCTCCCTGGTGAGCAAATTTTAATTTCCCACTCAATTGCCTCCTTCATATGATTTACTTTGGCCAGTGACTTGTAGATGTAAATGATATCTTTTACATCTAAGCAAAACTTCAAGGCCATTGTGAGGTTTCTCAGTTTGTCTTAAGCTCAGCATGTGACACGTGGGTCCTGTTCCTTTAGGCTGTCTCAGGGTGAAGATGTAGGTAGAGCTGAAGCTACCCAGCAAAAGCTTAATGACATATTTTTTAAAAAGTTGTTTTTTTTCCCTAGAGAAAAATTTGTACCATGCATAACTCCCTTGTTCTAAATTCATTTCTTTTACAAATATGGAACCATAGGTATGTCTGGCATTTTTTCAACTTCCAGAGGTATTCTAAAATGACCTGTATTAAAACATTTGTAAATGAAAATAAGAAATATGAAAGTGTTGGCTGTGTATCTATAATAAATAAATTTTCTCATGAGTTTCTTTTGAAAATATTCTACTTCTAGTTATAAAACACATAGAAATAACTGTACATTATTATCCAGTACATTCTGAAATGGAAAGTAATCAAAGCAGTCAATAAGTTTATAAGTTAGGAGTAATCCGGGAAAACATCCTGTTTTTGAACCCACATGGACTTTCACATGTTTGTCATTTTGAGAAAACCAGTTTGTCTTTCACAAGCAGAAGTCATTTACTAGAAATTAGAATAGCAGATGAGACCGGGCGCCTACCTTGATGCAAGGAGTGGAGGGAGAGCCATGAGTATAGCTCTAGATCCAGACAATTGTCTACATCTTCTGCAGTGTTTCTGTCTCAAGTCTCCTGGGCTGTAGAGAGCCTCTGGACAGTAGAAGGAGCCAGTATCATTCTAACTAGCTCAGATGGTCTCTGGGCTATGTCTCCACCATTGCAGAATTATTTCTTTTTATGTTCTCTCTTCATCTTAACTAATATAAACCAGGATAAATAAAGTTTCTTGGTACAATGTAATAATAATTACTAGTTATAATTATAATGGCTAATATTTGTGAAGCATTTTCCATGAGCTGATGTGTCAACCAGGATTCTTTTGGTTACAAGTGACAGAAATCCCAACCCCAGTTAATCAGCCACAAAGGGAAGTTTATTGTATCATGTAATGAGACATGAGTGAAACCAACGAGTAGTTGACTTTGAAAATAGTTCAGACCAAAGACTGGAAGTCTACCTGCATTCTCGTCCTTTCTCATCTCTGCCCCTCTCGTTGTTTTGTCTCCATTTTTCCTTCTGTAGACTGGCTTCTTCCACAAGATGTTTGGGGCTCATATCTTTCCAGCTGGTGGTCAACATTCCAAGTATGCCTGAGTCATTCCCAGTTTTAGTTCTGACAATCCTGCATCCTGAGAAATCCCTCAAAAATCCTGGACAGTTGGTCACAAGAGGGGACAGGACATCTTTCCTTAGATGCTAGTTCCAAAAATACTCTTAATTTGATCATGTGTCCACTCTTGAAAACCAGTCTCTGTGGCTAGGGAGTGTGGTACTATGATTAGATCAGGTGCTACCTGGAGGGCAGTACTCACTAAGGCAAGAGAGTCAGGTTGAGTGACATGATGACATCTCTTATACTGACAATCTTCATCTTAACTAATATAAACCAGGATAAATAAAGCTTCTTGGTACAATCCTATATAATAAAAGGCTAATATGCAAATAGACTGAATGGCAGAACAACCAACAACCGGTCACTATGATGTGCACTGACCATCATGGGGCCTGTGTGTAACATGGTGGGCAGTGGGATGGTGGAGCAGGAGAGTGGGGGTGCCAGACTAAGGCAAGGTGCCGGTCGCTGTCATCGGGGCGAGTCTCTTGTGGTTACTGAAAATTCTTTGTTCCCGCGCACCACGGTCCTGCCTGGAGCTTGCATCTGCTGTTGGCGCTGGAGCTGCCACTCGCACCCACTGCCAGTGCCGGCCCTGCTCACACCCGCAGCCAGTGCTGTATCTGCTGCTCGCACCCAGCGCCGAGCGCCATTAGCGGGTGCAAGTGGCAGCTGCTGGCCCCGATCGCCCCTGAGGGCTTCTCCACCTCCCCCTGCTCCTGAGGGGCATTCACTTCCATCGATGGTGACAGCCCCCCTTGCACCCGCTTCTGGTGTCGGCCCCACTCGCTCCACACCGTCAGCGGGTGTGAGCAGGGCTGGCACCGTCAGTGCGTGGGAGGAGCAGCAGCAGGAACGGGGCTGCTGGCAGAGGGGACCAGGGGCCGTGGCAGGAGGGTCCGGGCGGGAGCGTGGAGGGTGGGCCAAGACCCACCCCTGTGCCCACTGCAGCCTCGTGGCCCACAGTTCCTTTCAAGGTGCACAAATTTGTGCACTGGGCCCTTACTGTAATAACAATTACTAGTTATAATTATAATGGCTAATATTTGTGAAGCATTTTCCTCGAGCTGATGTGCCAGGGGACAAGGGCTGGGCAAACCTAACATTCACCTTCACCAGAGTTAGACACAAAGTTAAGCACTGCATCTAATGTAGTCCTTACTAATCCTATGAAGTGAGTGCTCTCATCTCACTTTACAGTGAGGAGGCTGAGACTTCAAAAAGCACTGAGACCCACAAGTGACAACTAAAATGCCCTCAGAATTCACTTTTGTTTGCCTGATGCTCTAGGTTATTTTTACTTATTTTAAAAAAGTACATTATTATTGATTTCAGAGAGGAAGGGAAAGGAAGAGATAGAAACATCAATGATTAGAGAGAATCATTGATCGGCTGCCTCCTGCCTTCCCCCCAGAGGAGGCTGAGACTTCAAAAAGCACTGAGACCCACAAGTGACAACTAAAATGCCCTCAGAATTCACTTTTGTTTGCCTGATGCTCTAGGTTATTTTTACTTATTTTAAAAAAGTACATTTTTATTGATTTCAGAGAGGAAGGGAAAGGAAGAGATAGAAACATCAATGATGAGAGAGAATCATTGATCGGCTGCCTCCTGCACCCTTCCCCCCAACATTGGAGATTGAGCCCGCAAGCCGGGCATGTGCCGTGACCCAGAATCAAACTGTGACCTCCTGGTTCATAGGTTGACCACTGAGCCACACTGGCTGGGCAGGGTTATTTTATTTATTTATTATGTTTTGTTAAGAGTATTGCAGATAGTTCCCCAAATCCCTCCCACCCCCTGTTGCCCACTTCTACCAGGCTCCCGCCCCACCCCAGGGATTCTTTGAGGGTAAATGCTACATGGTCCACCTCTGGGAACATCCTGATTGCTGGTCAGTTTCATCCAGTGCTTTATGTCAGGACTCTCAGATTTTTTTTTTTTTAAATTTGTACTCAGATTTTTCGTGTGTGTGTGTGTGTGTGTGTGTGTGTGTGTGTATGTTTATTTCATTTACATATTATTGGAAATTGACTACTTTTAAATTTAAAATATCTTTATTTTTAGCACTTTTTTCCTTTGGCTGTGGTGACCATCAAATCCTTTCCTAAATGTGTACAACAATTGCAGGAAAGGTCTGAGGTGATCATTAAAATAGAATCCGCAAGTAAATGGGAAGCACAACCCAAGACAGGGATCAAAAGAGTGTGACTTTAGGAAGCTCTTGATGGGCTACTTAAAAGACTTAAGCAGATGATGAATGTGAGGAAAGTTGCACACTAAATATTTGCATAAATTAGAACATTAGAGGAATATTTTTTGAAAAGTCAATTAGCAGAAGACTGATTTCCAACTTGCTTACAGTATTTTTAAATGTCCTATGAATTATTTTTAGATGACATGTTTTGTTTTTAAATCTAAAAAGTGACTGTTTTAAAATAGACTTGTGAAATTTAAAGATGGATAAAAAATATAGTAAGGATTGTCAATTACAAGTTGTTATTTTGGACCAGTTACTTCCCTATTCTGGGGCTTAATTTTATTCTCTGTAAAGTTGGTGGCAATGGAGTTGAAACAAAGGATCCTAGGGTTGCATCTCCCCACCTTAATAGTCTTTGGTTTTATTTTAATTTTATTTCTGTGATTGGATTCTATGTCGATCATAAATTGATTAAAACCTTTATAAGAATATTATGCCCCTTTACTGAAGGCAACATGTTAAAACAAATAGTTGGTACTTCAGGCCTTGACTAAATGAGATTTATTGATTTTATCAAATATGAATTATAAATTGTCATACCTATAATTCAATAAGAATGATGGTAAATGTTATATTCTCACACAGATGATGCCTAAAACAGAGGCAACATTAATAGATCACATTCTGTGGATAAGATAACATGTTGGATTTTTAGAATTGTCATACCTATAATTCAATAAGAATGATGGTAAATTTTATATTCTCACACAAATGATGCCTAAAACAGAGGCAACATTAATAAGATAACATGTTGGATTTTTAGGCTCCATGGATCAGAGTTTCTGCCCATAATTAAGGATTGTGGGAATTATTCTTAAAGTATGAAACCAGATTTATTGATTGATTGATTGATTGATTGATTGATTTTGTTTTGTTTTGTTAAAAGTATTACAGTAAATCCATGGATCAGAGTTTCTGCCCATAATTAAGGATTGTAGGAATTATTCTTAAAGTATGAAAACAGATTGTTTTATTTATTCTGTCAAGAGACATTTACCCATACACAGGTGCTAGCTTATCTTCTTAGTGTTTCCTTTCCAGAGTGACACAGGTTTAGTACAACAGAAGAATATTGCTGTTCCTGGGAGGGTAGCTCATGAGATGCGGCATCCTTCATGACCTATGTCTGAGCCTACACAGAGTCCAGTATAGTGCTGGGGCCATGATTGGACTCCAATGGGGCTGAAACAGAATTAACCTTTGTCATAATGTGGCAGGTATGTTCTTGACACTTACAGCTTCCAGGGACTAATAAAAATGGAGGCCATATTCCATGTGTCTAATAGTTAACAGTTGTACATCAAGCTAATGAATTGTTAATTATAATACATTTTATTTTCCTTCTCCCTCCTTGGGTAATATATCTTCATAATAATCTGGAATGACAGAGTTGAGCTTAGATCCTTAAACACACCTCATGGTCTAAGGCCACAATCTTTCTCTTCCCCCTTAGGGCTCTGTTCTGTACTGTAGAGATAATACATAGGCCATGAGTAAATGTCCTAGCTCATACTTTACCTACAACTGTGCCACAGCTTCCCTGGATCCATCCCTTGGTCCCAGAGATTCCATAGCAGTGATTTTTGTCCACCTGGGGAGGACAGGCCAATGAAAAGGCCCATGAAGGGGATTTGGGGGATGCAGGCTACAGAGGGACATATCCCCTGGGGCTTCTGTGGAAGGCATGGCTAGAGGAGGGTCAGTGTGGCTGGAGAGGCATCTCTGGCTCGGATCAGACTCTAACCTAAGCAATGCTATTAGGGGAAGCCAAAAGGAGAGTTATTTCAAGTTTGCTAGAAAGACTCAAAGGCATAAATGCTGGGTATTGGGACCAAGGGAATGCACATCCTCTCTTTTCTCTTGTTCCTGTGTCTCTGCTGCTTTTAATCTGCCTCCATGCAGACTGGCTTTGCCACCTTCTGGTGAGCAGGGCAGGAAATCTTGGCACAGACAGTTCCTAGCTGTGCATATTTTAGTCTGGGCAGCCAGAAGGATGGTATTCTTTGTCTTTCTAAAATTCTAGGGCAATGACTTAGCTCTGGTTGGGTTGGGCTACTCATCCTTAACTAATGAACTATGGACAGGGAAATTGGGACTGTGATTCCTAGAGAATTTCATGGCAAATAATGCAAATACATTTTATGAGACAAAAAAAACCTCTTCAAAAATGAAATTTTAAAATATCAAAGTTTTATTTTATATTGTAACTAGAGGCCTGGTGCATGAATTCATGCACGGGTGGAGTCCGGCTGGCCTGCCCAGATCTGGCCAATCTGGCGGGGCTGGCTGGGGGGAGGGGCCGTGGGCGATTGGCCAGCTGGCCCCGCCCCTGATGGGGTGGGAGGGGGCAATCGGGGGCTG